CATAAAAACACCTGACAAATTAGCTTATGAAATTTTTTTTTCATTCAGAAATGATTGCTGTATAAACTTTAGAGGCTGGATTGAGGCAAAACTGCAATAAGGTGTTGTTTAAGAGCAAGGCACACTGGGAACCCTCTCTAGGGTAAGAGTTACTAGAGGGTGGGAGAGCAGTCGGAGTTAGACTTTGGGAAAGGAAAGACCTGTAGTCACTGCAATAAGGAGTATAGCAAGGGAATCTAGCTTATACCTGCTTTTTTTTCTGTTCCCCTTTGATGCTAGTAAACTGAGATTTGGCCTTCTATCCATTTAGTTCTTGGGTGCTGAGATCCAGATGATGCATTACACAATCTGTCTTGAACCTTCCTGTTTGTGTTACGGTGGCATAATATAGTGCAGTAAAGCCGAAATGTGTTCTACTACAATACTGTTTGATACCTTGTTTAAACTCCATTCATAAGGCAGGCAATACATAACCTAAAACAAACATTAACAAAAATGTTGTAACCGTGACATTGGGCAATGTTGGTTCATATGGACTCAATGTAGTATCACATCATGTACGCTGTGGAGAGAGTTCAACAGATAAATAATCAGTTAAAGGAAAGAGCTACATTAACACACCAAGTGAGTGACACTCATATCTAGTTTAAACAGTGCATTTCCATTGACTTCATAGAATTGCAGGCCTGAATTTGGTTTAGGCATGTTAATGTAGCTTTTGTTCCTTTAACTGGATTATTCATCTGTTGAAATTTCTCTGTTTATCATGGCGTTTATGCTGTGATACTGCACTGTGTATGAATGAATTTTACACAGTGCTGTCATTGCATCATTTATGCTAGTTCCTTTCCTTCCTCTACAAATTGTTTCCTCGCCTGCCTGCTCGGAATTGAATCCCACTCAGCTGGCATAGCAGTGTTTGGAGCCTGTGATAGCACAAAGATAACTACATACAGAATAATAGGCATTGCAGCTGAGCAGCCCAAACAAATGACTTTAAAGGGATCCCAAACATTGCTTTGTTAAGTTCACTCCTGGTTATTTAATTACCTGTAGCCCTGAGACTTTTGCAGTAATAGATCACTTCTTCTTCTTTTTTTTTTTTTTTTCCCCCCCCCCCCCCAAGCCCTCTTGTTCTTGGGCTGGAACTCCAGAATTAGATTTTCTTGTTAGGAGATAAATGAGTAGCCACAGACTCATGATAGTCACTCCTCATTCAGGTTTAGGGATATCGTTCCTATTACAATATTATTTATTTTATTATCCGTGCCCAGGATTGTCAGCCACCTTCCAATACAGACAAAAGACAGGAGCTTACATGAAGCTTATAAATTAATTTCAGACATGACGCAACTGGAGGTGTGGGGGGTTACAAGACAACCGAGCAGGAGAGAGGGAAAGATAGGGCTAACTTTAAAAGATTATACATATGCTCAGTGAATCAAGTGCGCATCATGATGGAGCAAAGACTTTGTTCTAAAATATAATAAAAACAGGAAGCTGGGCACCTAACTGGCCAGTTTCATGTAGGTATGGTGGAAGAGGAAGGAGATGATGTGGCTTTGGGGACCAGCTCGGAAGGGCATTCTGTTTTGGGGAGAGGGTGGTAAAAAGCACAGAGACAGTTATGAGATGAGTGGCCAAACAGGGTGCTAGGCTGACTTCCTTGGTGGAGCAAAGTGCCTGTAGTTGCATTGAAAGGTATGGGAAATCAACAGTAAAGCTTACAATTCCAAGGGCTTATCTACACTACTGGCTGGATCGATGGGCAGCGATCAATCCATCGGGGGTCGATTTTTATCGTGTCTAGTATAGATCGACCGCTGATCACTCTAGCGTTGACTCCGGTACTCCACCTCAACGGGACGCGCAAGGTGAATCGATGGGAGAGCGTCTCCCATCGACACACTGCAATGAAGATACCATGGTAAGTAGATCTAAGTACGTCGACTTCAGCTATGTGAATAACATAGCTGAAGTTGCGTAACTTAGATCAATTTCTCCCCCCCCTCCATAGTGTAGACCAGCCCTAAGCAAAGTAATCTTACATGCTTGGAGAGGAATAAAGAGCATGTGTTTGGACAGTCACTCAATCTCTCTTCAGACATGAGCCATGTGTCACTCAAGGCTACCCCAGCATGGGAATAGATAAGTCTGCGTCTGTAATGTAAAGGATGTTTATTCCACTGATTTACTTTTGATAAGGACCTCTGAGCCTTTGAGACAGCGTGCTAATGATTGTCTCAGTTCTTGATTCAGGCATCTGAGTTGTAGCCCATCCAAGGCATTGGGAGGTGTCTCCTGTGACAGTTTTGAGTTTAGCTCTTCTGTCAGATTTTCTTCTCCCGCTCAAATAGAACTGGCTGCATAGCAATGGCAGTGTTTTATCTCTCCATCACATTTTTTGCTATAGTTACAGTTGATGCGTTTTGCTCGAAGCAAAGTTGTGCTCAGTCCAGGCTCTCTCCTTCTCGCTTTTGTTGCAACTGCTGTGCTGTGGCAGGCTGCCATTTTTCTAAACTCAGTATTCACACACAGACCTTTCTGCAGGACGGGAATGGCCAGGATTATGCATGTTTGCAGTGTGTCCTTGGTAGCAAGGAATTACTTACAATGCAAGGGGGATTCTTCCCACTGTGAGCAATGTGCTTATTGAGCTGTACTTTGGTCCCCATCCAAAGAGACAGATTTTTGTAAATAGGAGGAAAATCAATAGTTTGGGTTTTTGTTTTTAACATAGATTCTTTTTAGATGTAGATCATTTTTAATTTTCTATATTTTTAGCTAACTTTTGTCCTGTGTGCTTTATTGTGTGTGTGATACAGTACTTTTCACTAACTACCAATATAAATTCAATGCTATCCTGGACATATTGCAACCAATTGTTTCACTGTGGAAGAATATGCAGGGTGGCATAAATATATTTTTTTTAAATAGTCCCAAATTTATTTCTGAGGTAGCAGTTTCCAATATTGACTTTGGTCTCCTGTCAGCAAAAGGGATGTGTTCACACTGAATCCCAAACAAAACATTTTCACTGCCTGGGGCAAATGCACATAAATATTTAAGAGTACAACCAACCTGCTACAAAGCTTGTTCTCCTTGCCCTCTCAAGTTTGAGGAGCAGATTTACCTTTTTTTTTTTTTTTTTTTTTAATTTGACTTATTTTTAGCTCCCAACCACTTAATTATTGGTGTGGGTGCTTCTATCACACCCAAAACAATTACCATGCAAATCTGGACCTTTTAAGAGTTGCCTCATATAATGATTGGTTTCTGTTGGGACCAAATTCCCAGGAATATCACCCTTCTGGGCGCTCATTTTATGGGAGTAATTTAGGAACATGGTAAGCCCATGAGATGGGCTAAGTAAGCCAAGGCTGGCTGATGAACAAACAAGCCACAGGTTTGTGATTTAAAAAATAAATGAAGCAAAAAGAGTTTTCCACAGCCAGAATTTGCCATATAAATTTAAATGTCTTTGTGCAGCCAGAGCTCCAAGATCAAAAACTGAGCTCCTAGAGTAGGCCAGAACAGGCTGAGAGAGACACCAATACTCACTCCTATTATATTCACTCTGCAACCAACAGCCTTCACTAACTGCAATTCCAACAAAAATCTCAAGATCAAAGGCTACCAGATCCTTACTTTGAACATGTCTGCTCTCTAAATACTGGGATCCTGATCATTTTCTAGATTTATAGATTCTAAGTCCAGAAGGGATGATTGTGATCATCCAGTCTGACCTACTGTATAACACAGGCCATAGAACTTCCCCAAAATAATTCCTAGATTTTAAATCGAGATTGATTTTAAAATTGTCTGATGGAAAATCTACCATGGTGCTTGGTAAATTGCTCCAAATTCTGGATGCAGCCTGAAAGATACCTAATAAACCAGACAGGGCAGCACAAACAGTGTGCAGAGTAGTTTGAGGTCAGAGTTAAGGGTGATTGGGTACCTCAGTTCTGCCTTTCCATGCTTCATTTTATTTATCTTGACATAGAGTTTCCTGGTCCTCTAACATTTATTGTTTGTAAAGCCACAATGTTCTAATCAGGTTTAGTTTGAGTAAGGCATTGATATAATCTCTCTGCTATATCGCTAGATTAACTTTTCTTTGGGGGGGGGCTGTGATTCTTAAATTTTTATAGATTTTATAAGAAATAATCTGTGGCACCTTAATATTCCAACATTTCTGAGTTTAGAAGAATTTACTAAGTGTGTTGGACCCATCAATGCACATTACAGGTCCCTTGATTTGAAACTTTTGAGTTTTGTATGTGCGTGCAGCTGCGTCTAGCAGGCTTTGGGTTCTGGCAAAGATTGTAAAGTATGTATGGGGAAACTTCTACAGTTTGCTGGTGCAGCTTGCAAAATCCTGGCCCTAGGGCCAATGATTTAGGACTGCATTAACCCAGGTGCTTGTGTGTGTGACTTTCAAGCGGAGCAGAAATATATATTGTTGATACAAGTTTACTTCTCTACCTCCAGAGTCTAAACCCAATTACCAAACATACACCTTCATGAAACTGGAAGTGCGTGGGTGGGTGTACACCATTCAAAATTGCTTTTTAAAAATAGGTGAAAACTCCATTAAGTAGATATAACCATTCATGAGGCCTTTGCACTTGGAGGGGGGCTGTGGGAGATATGCCAGTGATCTGGTTCAAGCACATACAGTGAAGTCAGTAACTGACAGCCATAGAAACAAAGTTCTTATACTAGTTTGTATATATTCTCTGGAATACTTTACTAACCAATATTCATACTGAACAATAACTGAGTGGAAAATATTTATGGATTAAGACTTATAAACAAATTCTCAAGCTGAGCCAAGCATTAGCTCCACACTACCACAATTCTGAAAGACTAACTTTTGTAGTATTTGGCTATTCTTTGATTCCAGTGAAAGAGACAAAGCAAGGGTTCTGTTATGCACTGAAGAAGGTATACATATTTTAAAGCCCCTGTTTTGACATCCATATATTTCTGTCCAGAATGACAAAAACCCCAAAAAGATGATGAAAGATGACAACGGGAAGAAGAGGAACAACAAATCATCATTTAGTGATGAAGACAAAGAAGATGCAATGAAACAGGCCCTGCTAGAACAGGTAATTCCAGTACGATGTTTGCAGATAACTTAAACTACTATGTGTAATAATTCCATAGAGTTAGAACATTTGGATTGCCAGAACCCAGAGAGCTCTCCATGGTTATCCACATGGCCTGATGGCTTCTCTGGTTGTAGGGCTCATTCATTCCTTTGGCTGATAAAGGAACTGATGCTGATGTTAATGCCCATTTTACCCTTGTGTGGTGTTCCATTAATTTCAGTGGCGTTGCTCTTGACCTACTTCAGTGTAAATGAGAGAAAAATTGGACCCAATGATTCAGATCTAGTATTTAAAAACTCTCCTCAAACTGGAAGACTCATGGGAACTGAGGTAGCTGTAATTACCAGTATACTACTTGGGAGAGTCAGGTTGCTCTTATAACGGATAGGGGGTTTTTTTGCAGATAAACCAGGGAGTACGGCGTATTAGCTATTTGTAAACTCTTAGGTTAGAATGCTCAGCTGTCTATCAAACTGAAACTTTAGCAAAAGTAAACATTTATATGGACAATATTAGTGAATGTTCATTTCATAATATGGCAGTTGCCAGGTACCACCTTATGTGGTGTAATGGAAGGCAATTTTTTTCACCTTTATATTTCTATACATTGCTGTGTAGTTGTGACCTGGCTTGTGCCTACCTGGCGGGTTTACTACTGCACTTTGGATGACGCAGAAACTGTCAGGTGTGCGTGTCCTAACTCCAACATTGCTAATGGCTAAAGCAGATTCTCCGTTAGCTCAAGTGCCTGTGTGAAGTTCTGAGTGGCCATGGCATGTAGTAGTGTACCAGTCTTGAAGTCCTAGAAGGTGCCAAAGGGGTGTTACTATATTAAGTTGAAGAGACACTGTCGTATTTAAAGCCCCAATTTTCATTGATTTAAAGAAGATAAATCTTATAAATATTTTTTTCTTTCTGTAATATCTCCCTGATGGACATCTGTGTACAGACACACAGACAAAGTAGTATATAACATATAGAGATGTTGTGGGTTGTTGCATCATATCACCATACAACTATGATGCTATAAGTTCTTTGGGAACTTGGCAATCAAAACATATATCTGTTGTTAGGGTCCAAAACAGTTTATATAGAAAAGCAGGCACCCTTACTTACTTAGCTGCCATTGAGTAAAGCACGCATATCTACTGAAAATTGATTTGAGGCCTGGCAGTTTACTGAGACGCTGATCACAGAAATTCTTCAGCTGTGGCAGGGGTAAAATGGATGACCATATGCTCCGCTTGGGCCAGTGAGAACCTGGTAGTATTGAACCGGACCATAGTCAACAGCACCATCTGCTGGGAACTCACTATAAAACTTTGAAATAAACTCAGTTATTCTGCAATATATTAACCTGAGAATATTTATATTTGTAAATATGCAGAGTGTTATCAATATAATGGTAGGTAGTATATTGGCACTTTGAATACACAGAGAAGTGAACAAAATAATTCATACTTAAGTTTCTTCTAATTTAGAATTAAGAACACTGGGTCATAGAAGATAGAGAGAAAAGATCTGGTAGATTCACCTGTCCCCAAACTAATGCAGCACATCGTTCCCAGATAGATCAGACATAAAGCTGATATTGCACATGCATTTAGCTCAGACACAAGAAAGCATTGGCTGTTGTATTGTATGACACTTATGCACTTCCAGCTTTAAGTATTGAATGGTACTTGGATATAAGTTTTTATTACTAGTGTTCAAATGACTTACTATGAAATACATAGTGACCCAAATTTTTAAAGGCGTTTTGAGATTTGTGTATAAAGTATCGGTACAACTGTGCTCTTACATTTGCATGCACAATTGTTGGGATTTTGTATATTCAAAGTTATGTAACACCAGAGTTACGAACTGACCGGTCAACCACACACCTCCTTTGGAAGTATGCAAACAGGCAGCAGCAGAGAGAGACACACACACAAAAAGGAAATACAATACAGTACTGTGTTAAATGTAAACTACTAAAAAAAGGGAAGTTTAATAAAAAGATTTGACAAGCTTAAAACCTGTTTCTGCACTTGTTTCATTTAAATTGAGATGGTTAAAAGCAGCATTTTTCTTTTGCACAGTAAAGTTTCAAAGCTGTATTAAGTCAATGTTCAATTGTAAACTTTTGAAAGAACCATGACGTTTTGTTTGGAGTTACGAACATTTCAGAGTTATGAACAACCTCCATTCTCAAGGTGTTCATAACTCTGAGGTTCTACTGTAATTAGTATTGAACATGCAGTCATAGTAATTGCATGTATAAATATAGGTGTGCAGTTTTGCTCATGGATTTTTCAGCCATCTTTCATTATAAACCTACCCCTACGGCCTGTTCTTGAGCCACTGAAGTTGATGGCAAGACTCATTGACTTCAGTGGCACAGAACTGGGCCCTAAATATACTACTGGATAGTATTCTAGTTACTAGAATACTAACTGTATGCTTTAATACAATGATGTAGATGCAAGCTTGGCTGAGAGAATTTTGTTACCTGAATACCTTTTCAGGTATTTAAAAGGGTGTCATAAGAAGGAGGGAGAAAACTTGTTCACCTTAGCCTCTAAGGATAGAACAAGAAGCAATGGGTTTAAACTGCAGCAAGGGAGGTCTAGGTTGGACATTAGGAAAAAGTTCCTAACTGTCAGGGTGGTTAAACACTGGAATAAATTGCCTAGGGAGGTTGTGGAATCTCCATCTCTGGAGATATTTAAGAGTAGGTTAGATAAATGTCTGTCAGGGATGGTCTAGACAGTATTTGGTCCTGCCATGCGGGCAGGGGACTGGACTCGATGACCTCTTGAGGTCCCTTCCAGTCCTAGAATCTATGAATCTATGAATTATTCATTATCTAATTTTACGATATCATAGAGGGAGACCTTCTAATTGTCTGATAAGTGCTAGCCATACAGGACCTGTATGTGCACTATGACTTGGCTGACAGACTCACTGCAGCCAACAGTTAGTGGCAACTCACTTTTTTCCGTACATAGTATGCTCTCTTTTTATGAGGTATTCCGTATAGTGACTTGTTGGGGCTTAGATTCCCCCCCCCCCCCCCCCAAATCTGACTCATATCTAGAGCATCCAAATAACGAGTGTTTCCAGTGCAGCCCAGTAAGTCCCAGCAGTCATTTGACTTGAATGGAAGTTCTACTAAAACTTTTCCTGAGAAGCTCAAAAGGTCCTGGAGCTAGGAAGTATTTTAAAAAGTGTTAACTCACATGCCCTGTCATATGTCTGTTTCCTTAGCTTTATTTTATTATCATAAGTAATTCCTAAATATATCAAAGATGTTTGTCTTTCACTGTGGGTTTTTTTCTCTCTTTTCCATCCCCCCCCCCTTAATTTAAAGACCGTATAAAGCAAGTAGGGATACACAAAACAACTGTTAAAAAGCGCTTTGCCATTTTAATAGTCTCCAGAATGAGCCTAAACTGAAACTGCTTTAAAAAAAACAAAACAAAAAAAACTTGTTTTTTCTTCCCCGTTCTCTTGGTTTTATTTGTCACATCAAAAGCTTCTTTAAAAGAGCATGATATAGGTGTCTCTTTCTCTCTAATGCTTTGTGAAGCTAGTCCTTCTGAAGGTGTCTTATGACAAGAAACATCACTGAACGTTGGGGCCTGCACCTTAATCCAGGTACTGCATAAAAACAGATGTTTAGATGTGTGGATTAGAATAGAATACATCCACAGCTGGAGGGTTGTGGAGGCGAAATGTGAAGTCAGCCCCTTCCAGTCAGCACTGCAGAATATGCTTCTCTGTTTTCACGGCAGCAGTCACCCCTCTTTCTGCTGAACTATTTCTCAGCCTTCTAGGAATGTTTCATCAAAAGGTTTGATAGATTTTAAACACAGTAAATGCTGTGTTATCTGGTCCTGTACTAACCGGAAAGCTCTATAAACTGGCATTTTTAATCTTTATAGAAAGTCCAGTTTATAGTCTGGTTGGCATGGGGCTGGCAGGTTCCCTACCTGGCTCCGCATGGCTCCCCGGAAGCAGCAACATGTCCCTGCTGCTCCTAAGCGGAAGCGCGGCCTCTGCCCGCAGGCACTGCCCCCGCAGCTCCTATTGGCCGTGGTTCCCAACCAATGGGAGCTGTGGAGCCAGCAGTTGGGGCAGGGCGGGGGCAGCACGCAGAGCTGCCTCAGCAGCAGGGACAGGTCACCACGCCCGAGGTGAGCGCCCCCTGCATCCGGTGCCCCAAGCCCCCTCCCAAACCCAAACTCCCTTCTCCAAGCCCCAGCCCTGCACCCCGTCCTGCACCCAAACTCCCTTCCTATTAGTTGACTGGAATTTTTTACTCACCGACACCCCCCCCCCAATTCCCCCAACATTCAGTATAAAAAAGCATTTACTGTAATTGTTTAAACTACAATGGTGCTGCTGCGGTCACTTCATAACTTCCTTGGCTTTTTCTTCCATCTTTCCAGGAGTTCCAGGGCCCAGGAGCTTGCTTTTCCTCCTTGCTTTCAAATGAGGACTGAATGTAACTTCCAGTGGTGCCTACCAGCTTACTTCAGGGACCAAATTCTGTGCTGATTTACATCCTATTGAAATCAGTAGGATCGCACAGGATTTCAGTGCAGAATTGGAAGAGCCAATGTGTCTGCTAGAGGGGGTTGCAGGGAGAAATACTATAGATACTGCTATTAGATGAGAGAGATATTTTCTCTTCACCCCTTCCCAACTTCTTCTTTCTGGTTGATATCCACCGCAACACAATCTCAAGTATCATCCATTCCTCACAGCAGATTGGATGCCCATATCATTTCTTTGAGAGCAATGCAAGATGTTCTCTCCCTTCAGTCCCAGCCCCTCCTAATCTGGGAGTTAGGGATCCCACTCAGCACATGGATTCTGACTCCATTCCCTGTTTGTGGTGATTCTGATGTCTGTACTTAGAACAGAAATGAGTAGAGCTGGTTGGAAAATGCAGATTCGTTGAAAGCGAATTTGAATGTCATTTTGAAACTTTGCATTTTAACCTTTTTGGA